CACCAATGAGAATTTAACTGACCATTTTCTGACTTCCAACAATTGAGATTAGAAAAACATAAAAAATATGTTTACTCATGGGTCATGGGTATCATAGGCTGGGAGAGGCTGAACCTCCCCAAACAGTCTGGCATGGCCCCACCCACGCACCGCCCGGTGCTCTGGGGCTGGTTGCGCTCGGGCAGCCCAGAGCTGGGGGTCTGGCAGCCACGGTGGGGATGCTTTGGGCTCCGGTGGGAAGGGATGGAAGGAGAGGTGGGTTCTCGGGCAGAAGGGGAGGGACCAGGGGCTAGCCTCCCTCAATGGCCAGTTCACCCACCACCCATGTTTTTATTCCACTTTTTTGGAATAAGTGGAGAACATAGGAATGCTCAATATCAGTGTACATGAGCTGAGAACAACAGCACTCTGATACCGCAAAGCCAACAATTAAACAAGGAAAAAGAGTACAATTATCCAAATGGATTGCAGTATGGAAAGATGCAGAGCAGTGCAAACAGTCAGAACAGTATAAAAGACCATTCTTGTCTTTTCACTGCAGTTATTAGAGGAAAGGAGTTGCCGCTTGCTGTGTACAATTTTGTAAATGTTTCCTAAAAAACACTAATAATTTGAAGTAATAAAATGCTTTTTGCCTAAAACTAGAAATATTGTGCCAGCAAACCAGGTGTATAGTACAGGATAAGAAAGTATGGCAGGTGGAAATATTGCCAACTCCAGGTGTTCAAACATTATGCCTCAGACCCTCAAAAATCGTGAGATTTTTTTAAAGAAGTTATAAGTTTGGCATTCTATTAAATTTGCCTTCTAGTTTTTGAGCCTTTAGGGTTCACATTTCCAAACCTTTCTTTGCAACCATATGTGCTTGAATTTTTTTTTAAATGAAAGCTAAAATTCTCACATACTAAAAAAGACTTCAGGGGCTGGGTTCTAAGACAAACACTAAATATCACAAAACTTATATTTTCATGTGAAGTGTGCTAATTCATTCTGAGAGCTCCTTAAAAAAAAAAATAACAGAGATTTCAGCAGGTGACTAATTTTAAGAGAACATAAAATTAAAGAGCTGTGATATAGCTCTAAACAGAGAAGTGACACATCATGACCACTAGGAAGAGTGGTGCACATATAGGAAGTATACAAGTTCATCTGAAGTCTTTAAAAATTAAGTGTAACATTGTAAAATGAAGAGATCGATTCACGTCACTAGTACTTTGACTATTAGGTTCCTTTAAAAAAAAAAATCACACTGCACAATCCCTTGACAGCACACAAGGCAGTGTGTGGTCTGGCAGGTGCTTCCCACTTCCCAGCCTGGTTCAGCCTACTCTGAAAGACAGTCAAATCCAACTGGCTGTACTACTGTGGCATTTCCTTAACTTCCGCTGGATGACATTCCTGAAAATCCTCTTGAATTCTACAAAGCAAATATCAGCATTTCCACCCACCTCTGCTACTGAAGTGGTATTACCTCACCTTTAGCCAGCAGCGACAGAACTAGCTTGCCAGATCCCTGCATCCGCTGAAGTGAGCTGTAGCTCACGAAAGCTTATGCTCTAATAAATTTGTTAGTCTACGGTGCCACAAGTACTCCTTTTCTTATAGCAAGACTGCATTTTTATTTATTTATTCATGCTAACCTTTGTACAATGGGCTCTCCCATATTGAAAAAAGCATTGTTTTTTCCAGAGATTGAAAACATCTTTAAAAAGCCATAACTTTGATTAATCCAAAATAAACAGACTATGCACTCTAAATCTAGTTTTTCTCCACTTACATCTTTCAGTATAAGATACCCCAATTCACCCAAACGAGTTTACATTTAGTTTGTCTGTTCTGAATTTCATTGTAAGCTGAAAGGCTTGTTTTCCCTCGCTGCCATATCACCCCATCCACCAATAATTGTTGCTAACACTATACTTTAGCAGTTTAAAATACAGACTCAAATAGATGAGAGTAGGAACTGATTAAGAATGTTTTATGAGCAGTTATTTTTCCAACGCATTGTCATGTTAGCTTTAAAAGAATATTGTCATAAAACAAGATGAAGCAACAACAATCTTGAGGGCATTTTAGCATATACATTGACATCTAGATCAAAGTTTGCATCTCATTTACACCTGAGAAGAATTCTATATTTTCTATTTGTAAATTAGCTAATGTCATGCAAAAGGTTAAAGTTTACACTGGACTTTATTACAACAAACATATTAAATGCTTACAGAGCAAATGAGACAAGGTTTATATTGCTATCAAGTATCAAAGGGGTAGCTGTGTTAGTCTGTATCCACACAAACAACAAGGAGCCCGGTGGCACCTTAAAGACTAACAGATCTATTTGGGCATAAGCTTTCGTGGGTAAAAAACTGTCACCAAACTCCTTGTTGTTTTTGTATTGCTATGTTTGTTGGTTAGCCTGAAGGCTAGAGGCCATAACGTCACAATCAATTCAATCACAAAATATCCCTCTCAAGTCACTTGCTCTTAATCTAATTTCAATAACTGCCACTGGAATTATGAATCCTCCAGCAAGAGTAGCACAGTCCACCAGCAGGGAATTCATAAGGCAGGCCAGCAAAGAGAGCTACTCACATCCACTTAACCAACTAGGTTCCTTTGCAGTGCCCAGCACCCCGATACCTAAGCATGCCACCATTATTCTCCATAATTTACTTGAATAGCAACATTTCATCAGAGGATATGTTGGTAAATAAATATCATTCACAATCATTACTAGGAAAGTAATGCATATTACAGGCTAGCAGAAGGTATATTACATCCACAGTTTCTAGTATTAAAAGGAATAAAACAAGAGACCTACTCACTAGTTTGAGACTATGGCTTTAAGAAATTTCAGATCAATTTAATTTTAGAAATACTAGGATTGCCAAACACCAGTTTATTAGTCAACAAAAACTGTGTTTATTTGACAAGAACAACGCAAGTTCCCCTCCCCACTCTTTACATGGACGAGTGATTCTCAAACTTTTGTACTGGTGACCCCTTTCAAATAGCAAGCCTCTGAGTGCGACCCCCCCTTATAAATTAAAAACACTCTTTTATATATTGAACACCATTATAAATGCTGGATGCAAAGTGAGGTTTGGGGTAGAGGCTGATAGCTCATGGCCCCCCGGTGTAATAACCTTGTGACCCCCTTGAGGGGTCCTGACCCCCAGTTTGAGAACCCCTGACATAGACCAATTTGACACCGATTAACCTGTTAAGCCAATCCTTTAAACATGTCAAATCTCAGAGAGAGCTTCAGGCTTTTAACGTCTCAGAAGTTTTTCTATAAGTGTCTGTTTTCCTCAAAAAAATTAATTAGCAAGTTAAAGTTTGGCCCTGCAGTGAAATAGTTAACATCAGACTGCAATGATATGCACTTCTCTGACCCATTAAATTTCTCACAAGCTGCGCTACAATGAGCTGTAATATGATCTAAGAGTTTATGGAAAAAATAACTGCACATACCAATTGCACACATTTAATAAGAGTTTGTTTCCCTTAAAATATTCCATAAACATGATTAAGACACACCCCTCTCTCTCATGCATTTTAAATATGCTCCCCCCTCCCTCTACACACCTCTTTTCCAAAAACCAACCCCTTTACAAAAAAAAAAAAAACACACACACACACACAGCAGCCCACTGCAGCAAAAAGAGGCTTGAAAAACAACTTTGATTGGCACTTGGCCTGACCCACAGAGGAAGAAAAACAGTTTTTGGACAAAGTGCGCAAATATTTGAGCTCACCGACTTACATGCTTTCTTAATATTTACAAGAACAACCCTGGTGCAAAATGTATTTAGAGAGACAGATGAGGGAAAAAAATATTGCATTTTTCTCAGTCTTCCAGTCCTGATGCATTTGCACAGCTCAGCAATTTTAATTCATTTGCACTGGACAAACAAAAAGCACCTCATCTAATGTTCTCAATTAATCAGATGTTGAGAGGAGTTAGTAAAGGATTAGAATATTCGCAAAGGACATTCTGGTCAGGGGACCTGTTAATAACCAGCTGATTTTTTTCCCCAAAAGCTTTACATTTCAGAGAGGCAGTCTGAAAATAAGGTTTTATAAAAATTGTAGTGATGTATTAATTTTTACTAAGTGATATGTGAATAAACTTTCTAAGCCGCTCTCTATGAGAATCAACCAGAGCCAGTGTTTCTGATGATCCATCCAAGTAAACACTTTTGCTGAAAAACACACATACACACACCCAATACAAATCCCCACATATATTTTATGTCTCAGGCAGAATCGCTAACAAGGGAAAGGCACTACAGGGGGTGGGAGAGTGCGAACCACGAGAAACTAAGAACCCCGCTAATAGGAGCTGTGGCTGAAGGTTGCGTTCACGGGCTAACAGGGACATCAGTGGGCCGGGGAACATCCCTCACACCGGGCAGAAGCAGATGCAGAGATCAGTGAAAGCGGAAAAGAGGGACCTTCGCCAAAGGGCCAGTGTCGGGTGGGAAAGACGATCTGCCCATCCCCTCTTCTCTACCATGCTGGGGCTGGTACCCCCCTCCCATCCCGGGACAATGCCCCGTTCTGCTCATACTCACCCACCTGCCACCCCCAGATCCTCCCGTGGCCCCTCGCCTTGCTAAAGTGCCTGGCTACCCCGCTCCTTCCCCTCAGATCTACGGTTTCCCTCTCTCCGCCTCCCGTGCGCAGAGGGGCCCGCAGCTCCCGTGCTACCCGCCCGGCCGCCCCCAAACACACCAGCCTCCGCTCGCGCCGCCGCCTGGGTCCCGTCCCCCTCGCACCCCCCCGAGTCCCAGTATCCCGCCCCCTCCCCTCAGGCAGCCGGCCTCGAACCCCCAGCGGTCCCCACCGGGTCGCAGCCCAGCGGCGCGGCCGCCCCCACACCACATCCCGCCCCCCCCCCGGCGTCCCCAACGGTGGCTCACATCCCCACGGCTCCGCCACATCCCGGCTCCACCGCCGCCCCCCTCACGCCAGCAGCGCCCCGGCCCCCCGGGTACCTGTCTCAGCACTTTCCGGCAGTTGCTGCAGACCCGGTACTCGCTGGCGGAGGCGGCGCTGCCGATGGAGCCGGCGCTGCCCCGGTTCATGCTGCCGCGCCGCGCCTCCTGGGACGGGGAGCGGGTGCGCCCGGGTCGGAGGAGCTGGCGGGGCTGGCTGCGCTCAGCTCACTGACCCGCTCCTCCGGCCGTCCCCATCCTCCCGCAGCTTCCCCGTCCACCGCTCGCGGGCAGCCCCTTCCCCCCCGCGCACAGCCCTCCGCCAATCACCGCGCTCCGGATACGCCCACTCTCGCTACTAGCCACCAATCGACGAGCTCGCACGACGCTGACCAATTGCCAGAACGCTCGCCGGCTCCCGTCTCCGGGCAGCCTCCAGCCAGGGGCGGGCGAAAGGGCGGGGCCGCAGCACAAGAGGGCGGGGAAAGCTCCTGTCTCCGGGCGGCCTTTCGGCCAGGGCCCCAGCGCGAGGGCGTGGCTTCTTCCAGCCAATAGAGGGCGACGGGCGAGGATATGCAGATGAGGCACAGGAGCCCATGCTTACCAGGTGTCAGTCACACACACCCCTTTAAACTTTGGCTGCTGCTGCTGGTGGGATGTGGGCTGACTCAAGGAAGAGCTTGGAATACGAAAGAGAGGGAAGAAGCATCGGAGAGAGGGGGAGCTGAATGGAGGAGGGGAAAGGGAGAGGAGAGGAGAGGAGAGGAGGAGAAAGGCCAAGAGGAAAAAAAAGGAAAATATAGTGCTCATAAACACCCCAGATACCAAACCACCATTTCCTCATGCAGAAAAGGGGAGGGGGAAATCTGAGCCTTGCACCATGCCTGAAAAGCTAGCAAATTCTGAGGCTGTCAGACCCATGGAGGAAGTCAATCCTAGAGTCAGGCACGGCGGTTTACTCCAATCAGGGGTCTTTTAGGTCAAGCAGGTCAACTGATCTCAACTGCTGTCATTGGGAAGGGAGAGAGGAGTTGCTCCTCATAGCCACGACCCAAATCTTATACAGTACAGGTCAACAGATGAGACTCATCACTTTGAACTGTACCCCAAACGTAATAGGAAGCAAACACAATTTGTGCAGCAGAAGCAGTGTGATATGCTCTGCCACCAAGCAGACACAAAGTAGTTCTGTCCCTGGCTGGAGCTTCAGAGTGGCTGTCCGGTACAGAGCACGTTGCAGTAAACCAATCTAGAATTTTAAAAAGTCATGGACTACCATGGCAAGCTTCAAATCCCAGAAGTCTGGTCATGACTGCAACCAGACAAATTGCTTTTGGCCTCCAAATTTCCTGGTTTGCAGGAGCAAACAATGGTACAAAAGCCCCCACACGCACACTGTAAATCTCTTGGGCAGAGTAGACACAAACCCCTTCTTTGAGGAGACTACAAACATCAGATTCTTCCCCAGTTCATTAGCATCAACTTCATTTTATTTGGATTATTGTCCATTTCTCCCCAATGTGCATTAATCAATTATTTATCAAGAGAGAGATACAGCATTATTACCGCCTTCATCCTAAAAGTGTACAGATCAGAGTATAGGGAGAAAAAATTGCTTTCTGGAAAAACATCCTGCTTTAAGGCAGTTGCTTGCACACGTAGAAACAAGACTGCTGTGCTGCCAGGCAGGATGAGATTAGATATTTGCTTTAGGGGAAATTGGGACTTGGGAATGTTTGGAGAGTATGTGTGTTGTCTCAGGTTGGGAGGATTATTAAAAAATGATGAGTCAGGTTTTCTAGCCTCCATGCTAATGCACAGAGAGACGGGGATATAATTGGGACAAAGACAAATCTCGTTTACAGGGCAGGTGGGTGGGATGTAGTCCCCATTTTTCTGATAATAGTGGTGCACATGTTTCATACCATGTATCACTATAATTTCTCCCATTTATGGGCTATCATAACTTTAGATTTTAGGTTCTAAGCACTTATGCAAGTGCATTAAGCATGTGAGTAATCCTATTGACTTCAATAAAATTCTGAAAATTAATGATAGGATAGTATATGATCTCTATTCTGAAAAATATTACTATAAAGTCATTTGATCTATCTGTTACAGAAACTTAGCACTCTAGTATTATAGCCCTCTGAAATCCCTAAGATAGGTTTTACTGTTTTGTTATGTACATTGTTTTAAAGTTTTATCTTGTCAAACTAATTGTAAATTGGCTGTAAACGAATTACAATCTGGTTCCTATATTTTTATCTTTGATAGTGTTATTTGTTTTTGCAAAGTTAAGCAACATAACATTTAGCTAAGTGATTTGCATAAAGGGACACTTTAAAGGGACATTTAAGGGACACTTGCATAAGGGACTATCTTTAAAAAATACTGAAAATCTTCACGATTTGAAAAAACATTTCTACCATAACCAGAACATCATTCACAGCATCAACCACTCCCATTATTGCCCTTGTCCTTCCTCCTGAAAAAGCACAGAATACTTTATGCTAAACATACTGATGTAAATAAGGCCCCAATCCTATAACCATTTCACATGGGCAGACCCTGACAGACAGTCAGAGCCCCTTTGGCTTCAATGGGATTCAGTGCAAGTGCATGGGTTCACCTCCATGGATCAATTTGCATAATCAGGGCCTAAATCTGTTATTCATGCTTATTATGCAATTATTGACATAATAGATACAACTTGAGACATATAAAAGCATACCTAGGGTCTTCCACATCACTGGAAGAATTCTTTTTTGCACTAACACAAAATCTAACAATAAATGAAAATGTTATAGTAAAGTATTATTTTTTGATTAATTATCTTTATTGGACTCCAAATAGCCAAAAATGCCAATCAAACAAACCTTGACCCAAAAACCTATGCCAGAGATAAACAATTGTGGGCTATGTAATGCAGAAAACACTATCTTATTACATATGCTGTGGAATTGTGTAAAACTACAGAAGCATCACAGTGATTTCTGAAATGATATAACAAACAGTGAATGGATTGTTAGATTATAATGAAAATTTTCTACTGAATCATGAGAAACGTTCTCTTGGGTATCTCTTCTGAAGCTGACTGCTTCTGCTCACAAACAGAAATTCCTACATATTCTTTTTCTTGGACAATTTTATGAACCATGGTAATGGAAATCAGCAGGGGCATGCACAAGGGGGGGCAAGCTGTGGCATGCCCCCCCCCCAATAATCATCAGGGGCACAGAACTCCTCGAGCCCCGGGGCTGAGGTGGTAGGGAGAGCGAGCTTCTCTGGGCCCTGGGCCTTCAGGGAGGAGAGTGAGCTCCTGCTGGAGCCGAGGTGGGGGCGGAAGGGAGGGAAAAGCAAGTTCTTGCATGGGGGTGGGGGCACAGAATGTGCCCACCCAAAAGGGGTCAAAGTTAAATTTTTGCACATGCCCCTCAGGAAAGCCCTTGATGGGACATGAATGGATTTCTCATCCTGTGCCACCAGTGGGGCTACTGGTTTATAGAGTAAGAACAGAAAAACTTTTTAAAAAACTGAAATATTTGATCAAATACCATGGAATGAAATGGATTATATCTTTCATTGTAGCCCCAATCCCGCAAAAATGTATGCATGTGCTTAGCTTGAAACCATGTAACTTCAAAGTCTTGCACACATGCTTAATTTTAAGTGTGTGATCAGTTCCACTGATCTCAAGTGAAGCATTTGCAGAATTGGGGCCTTTCTGCTAAATGTTTCAAAAATCTCTAGGATACTTCTTTTATGTACACGAATATACATCGATATAGTTGAAATGGGTTTTTTTCAGTGCAGCCTCCACCTTTGACTGGCAGCTTTCACAGTCCAACTGCCCCCTCCTTTTCACCCACTGCTGTGATCTTCATTTGACTTTTGTCTAATCATCAAACTAGTGAAAGTTACTAAAGTCCTTTACTTATCCTGTATTTTAGCTTATGGCATTGTGCATTGGCAGAGGGAGTTTAAATTTACCCACATAACTTTAATGTTGATATAGGGGTGAGAGTATAGTTCAGTTTGCAAATTCCTTCAGTTCTTCGTCCTTCTGCTGAGACTGCCTACAAAGGAAGCCAGTTAGTACCATATGCACTGGGGTGTTTTTCTGACGTAGATACTTGTCAAACAGAAATTGGAATGAGACCCTCAAATTGATTTCACAGATTATTGAACAGCAATAAAAGGGCTGCATTTTTGGTCTCTCCTAATCTGGTTTACATAGATTTTATAATCAGTGGTCACAATTTTTGCACAAAATTTTAACAGTGGAAGTGATTAACCACTAGAACAAACTACCAACAGAAGTGGTAGATTCTCCATCTCTTGAAGTCTTTGGATCAATACTGGATGCCTTGCTGGAAGATACACTTTCATCAAATATAAATTATTGGGCTCACTACAGGAGTAGCTGGATGAAATTATATTGCCTGCTATAGGAGGTCAGACTAGATGATCTAATGTTCCCTTCTGGCGTCAAAAGTCTATGAATCATACATTAACACTGCATTAAACGTGGTTAAGTTTGGAACAGATAGCAAAAGCAAGCAAATACAGTTAAGAGGAGAAATATACATGGTTTCTCCAGAGCATACCAAGAAATCCAGCATGGCACCTTGTGACCATAGGTGCTGTGTGACAGTGTCTACCTGGCCTTTACGGCTCCCTGCAGGAGGTCCCACAGTCCTACTACATCCCACGCCAGGAAAGGACCAGCAAAGTTGACTCCTCCAAGCCTGCCTAGAGGGGCCTCACAGAAGAGCCAATCAGAGCCCAGCAGGTTCCTATTAAAGGAGCTGTAGGGGCTAGCAGCTTAGCTGAAGGCTAGGAGTGGGGGAGTAAGGAAGGTTGCTTTTTTTCTGGCCAAAGGAGCTTGATAATTAGTTAGGTGTTATTGCTGACTGAATTTACCTCGTGGGAATTATATAGAGAGAAGAACCTGAGGTAGGGAGGGAGATAAAAGGGCCTCATTGGAAGAGGTTTAGGGAAAATGCAACAAAGAATTGAGTTAAGTGGTATGTGGCTGTTGTGTTTAATGTCTCTGGGTTGGAACCTGGAGTAGTGGATGAGCCTCTTTCCCATACTGGCTACAAGTAAAGCACTGTAAAACCCATGGAAGGGACAGGACTGAATTGGGAACCCAAACAGAGAACTGTATTTAAAGGGGCCTGAGCCAGGACTGATGGCCACAGAAAGCTGGCCTGCAGAGGGTGCTTGTGTGAGAAAAGGACTGCACTCACTACCACACCTAGCTGCTAGAGGTACTTGTGG